CAAACCCCGTCCTCACCGGGCCGTGACAGCACTGGGGGCTCCTGCAGCCCTTGCCCACGGAGGAGCCATCACCGTCAGGGGCCGGAGGGTGAGGGAGGATTTAACCGGCTCCTGGCCAAGAACCTTTCCCATGTTTGGGTGGTGGTTTTTTTTTTTTTGCTTTACAGAAACTCTCGGTTCTCGTGGTGCGGATGAGCGCGTCCATCAGGTCTCCCCACCCTGGGAGGTGTTTGCTGTGAAATTCCTGCTCGGAGGGCCAGGACTGGCCCCAAAATGCCTGGAGGAGGAGGCGGCGGCCTAGTCACCAGGAGAGGATGAGGCCCTCTTGACACTGCTCATTCAGAAAAAAAAAGACAAAGCTATCAGAACGCTGGATTTAAGGTATTTTTATTTTAGTGTTCCATGAAACCAAAAGGCATTTAAAAACAAACAAGTACCCAGGCTAAAAGCAGACAGCAAGAACAGAGAAAAATACATTCAGATCCTTCAATAATAAAACAAAACATTTGATTCTTAAGGCCCTTAAAGTCAAGGGGAAGCACCTTGCTGGACATAAAACGCCAGCCCCCTCACACCAAAGCAGGGCTGTAACGAGGATTGCCAGTAAAAGACTGAGGTACGAGGTTCGTGCGGCGCTGTCGCGGCCGTGGAAGTCGAGGCGTGGCTGGTGCAGGACCCCGGCCCCGCAGCAGCGCCCGGGCGGCTCCGCCGGGAGGCTCGACACCTGCAACCAGGGGGGAGGACAACCCCAGGGGCAAGAGCCAGACGCAACCCTGGGTCCACCTCAACAGACACGGCTGTAACTGGCCAAAACGGCTGCCAGGAGAGGGTGTCCCAGGTTTTAAGGCTTCACCTCCAAGGAGGCCGCTAGGAGCACACATTCCCACTTCGCTTCCGTGTACGCAGCGCGATGCACGTGATACAAACTTCGTAAAACCCACACTGCAAAAGCATCGCACGCAGCACCGTGGTGCCTCCAGCAGCCAGCGGCTCAGTAGTACCCATGTTGGCTTCAAAGGAGGCCGGCAAAAAGGAGAGTCCAGTCTTGCTTTCCACGTGCCCAGTTCTGACTACCAGTAATACCGTTTGTGAACCATTAAGTCACTGTTCAAAGGCACAACCGTTTTTTATGACTCTCTGACCGAGACCATCAGAAGCTGTGCAATAAAGTCTAGAAGACAAGGTATTAGCGAGGTATAGGCAACCGTTTCTTTCCAGAGGTCCACTGAGGCACAAGGAGGAAACGAATTAATCCTTCATCTTCCTCACTATTTCAAGGCACGAGAAGCAGCAGCAGTTTTCAGTAAGGCCATGCAGTACCACTCAAGACTAAAACCACCAGACAAGAGCTGAAGATGCCACTAAGACCTTCTGTGTTTCAGATCCTTCATTCACAGAAGAGGGTAAAGAAACAACCCCTTCAGTGAAGACATCTGCTCAAATATAAATAAAATTAGAAAAAAGTACCCAAAGTCTTAGAAGACTCTTAATGCTTAAGGCTTGTTTCAACTCAAGCTTCCCGTGAAGGACAGCTCTGTCAGAAAAGCTCCAGACTTTGGTAGTTGGTCAGTTTACAGCAATAAAAATGTAATTAACAGCATTTTTTAAAATTTTCCAATAAATGGATACATCTCTAGGCAAATATATTAAACTACTCTTCACTACAAAAATACAGTATTTGAGACTCCCCAGTAGTTTTCAGTGTTTTATGACAATAGTAAGCAGACCACTCACAGGTTGATAGTCGATCCAGCTGGTCTAGTCCCTCAATAAAGTGCTTTGCTGCAGAAAAAGCGAGTTAGAAACTCAGCCCTTTCGAGCTAATCCAGGAGTGACCCAATAGACCCTTTCAACTTCCGAAGGCAGGAGCGTTTGCTTTGGTCCTCTGCTACCCCACTCTTTCGGTATTTCGACTTTCTTCCAAGCCCTTTAGGGACTCT